GTGGAGGGCAGTGTCACTGGCCCTCATATGTGGGATCCGAACCGGGGCCCTCTGGCATCCCAAGCCAGTTCTTAACCATCGTGCCACTCGGCAGGTCCCCATACATACTGTTTTATAGCCTGCTTTTCTTCACTGAGGCAAGTGTGGGGGGTGGAGGTCAGAGTGGTCCAAAAAACACCCTACATTTCAGTAGCTCTCACTCCAAAAAGTAGTCTTAATACAGATGATATAAAATATGCAAAAAAGATGTCAAGGAATCCTTGGTTTCTGTTTCAGAATTCTATAAACTTCAGATTTTCTTATTTAAAATCAAAGCAGCCCAGCTGGAGGCAGTGGGCTAGGCCTGAGGCTGAGCACAGCCTAGGCCAGTCCTGGGCCAAGGTAACGTCCAAGCTGAGGGGCAAGAGGCCCTGATGAGAAGCTGGGGAAAAAAAGCCCCAGCACCCCCAGGAGAAGCCCTTGGGGCCCTGGCCTGGCTGGCTCTCAGTGAAGGTGGCAGGTAGGAGCTGCTCGACTCCAACATCAGGCTCTGGGTGGTTGTGACATCTTTATCATCACCTTTGTGGGAACCACCCACCACTGTGTCCATTCTGTGGCAGTGCGACAAGCAGCTCACCCAGAAACAAGTATCGGACAGGTTAAGTCCTAATTCAAAGCACAGTCCTCAGGGAAAAATGGAAATTATATTCCCAAACAGTCCTTCTTAACACGAAAATATTACTTCAACAACTCAGAGGATAGATTTTTCAAAAAAAATAAAGGGGAAATAGTACCACCTTCTATGACTGACCCGACTATGCGCACACACATTATGAAATGGAATATACCGTATTTCCCCATGAATAAGATGCATCCTTTTTCAAAAAATTTGGGGTCTAAAAACAGGGTACGTCTTATACAGTGGTTGTAGATGGTTATCAAGTCATTTAAGAAGTGTAACATTTCAAATGCCATAGATGGAACTGAAGACGAGGCAATATATGAAGACAGTGGTTCATCATCAGACACAGATGAGGACAAGCTAATGGTTGGGAGTTTTGACAGTGATGAGTTGTATGAATTTTATGATGAATAAAACTTGAGTCCAATAACTATGTAATACATTTTTTTTCAAATTTCGGGCCCCAGAATTAAGATGCGTCTTATACATGATAGCATCTTATACATGGGGAAATACGGTAACGTATGATTCTTATTG